ATATCAGCTCTTTATGACATTTACACACACCACTGTTGCGTTATGTCAATTTTCCCATTACATTATGTTAAGTCTTTATGGCATTAACTCGCACTTCAATTACATTGCGCCAATCTTCCATTGCATTATATCAGCTCTTTATGACATTAAGTTAAACCAATTTTACGTGGTGTAAAGATGTTTTTATATAATGTCAACTCTTTATTACATTATGTGCACTCTCTACTATTCGGTCTAAGTAGTTCATTACATGATGTGAATTTATCTTTAATTCAATATCAAGTCGCTATAACACGATGTCAGAATTTCATTACATGATGTGAAAAAATTATCACATGTGGCCAATTCTTTACTATATTGTGTCATCAGTATGCTACATGACGACAGGAATCTATTACATGATATCAATTTTCCCTTACTTTTGACAAATCATTATTATGTTATGCCATAGTATCTTTACATTGTGTCTAAAATGCTTAGCCTCTTGTCAGTATATCTTATAATATTTCAAGGTTTAGGTTATGCCTAAAAGTTCGTTTTGTGTTTTCAATATTACATGCACATATGTTAAACATGCAAATAATTTAAATTAAACATATCAAATATTAAATTATACACAAGACTTAATTAATTCTTAATTAAATATCAGGTTAAAATTTATGAATAGGATCATGTTCCCGTGGAATCTTTATTGACGATTGTTTTTTTTAAACGTCGAAATTCAATGGCCGTTAAATCTCATAATTATCGCAAATCAAATAGTATGTGTCAGGCAGCAATATTTTCCTTTTTATTTTGAATTATTTTGAAAAGTCCGAAACTTCTGATCTAACTACAAAACACTGTCTTAAGCTTTTTATCAGTCTTTAACCCTCTTTTTTTTTTTTTTTTTTAAAGTGTAAACACATCGTATTGCATACGTGCACTAGTTGGTGGGTGGGGAGAGGGGGGATCCCGCCCTCCCATCTTTAGTGACCAAAATATGCATGAAATTAATCACTTGGTTTAACTTTGTAGGACATTGCATTAGTTTCACATAAAGTTTAACTGAAATAAGTTGAAACGTTTTATATATATATAAAAAAAACTTGAGCCTGAGAGCCTCCAGGCTTTCGCCCCCTGGTCCCCAACTTAGACACCATACCGTCCCACTATAGCTACTCTTTTCAAGAACCCAAGATCGCCACTGATATGTGCCTATGTTTACTGAGGCATGGTCAATTGATTTAAGTGAGGGACTGGTAGATTTTTGTAACAGAATTCTAGTCCTGGAATGGTTGAAAAATGACTCATTCCAGTGACGTTGCATCGTTTTCGAAAGTTGGGGGAGGGTTGTCAGCCAGAAAAAAATAACGTACAAGATAAAAATAATTATACAAAATAACGTACAGAAAAAATAACGTACAAGAAAAAGCAAAAAAAAAAATGTCCAAACTCGAAAATCCTTTTTTCGGGTGAAAGAGGGGGGGGGGGGGGGGGTCCAACTTCGATCAGTCCTAAAAAAATTTCCAAATATACTACATTGCCCATATACTTCAGCAAAAAGTGGGGCGGAATTTCAATGAACATTTTCTATGATAAAGTTATGTCGGGAAAAAGAGGAAGCCAGACCCCCCCCCCCCCCTCATATAATTCAGACCCCCCCCCCCCACCTCCCAGTCGTGAAAACACGGTTATCAACTTTGACATAATGTAAATGTATTTTACAGCACGTAATGAACATTTGTAATCAAAAAGATAAAGAATAAACACAATGTTAAGATAGTTTTAAATCACATAAGAAAGAGTTAACATAACGGAATTATATATCCACATCACGGAATGGAGTTTTGACATAATGTAATAAAGTGTTGGTATAACATGGAACGCCGGGACTGTCTCCATAATGTATATTCACATTATGTTATAAACCTTTTTACATCACGTAATAAAGCACTGACATAAAGGTAAGATGTATTCACCTCACATTGTGATGACCTCGGCGTAAAATAAAGATACATTAACATCACGTAATAATGCTTAATTATAATAGAAATATACACTCACAAAAGGGAATGTACTTTTACTTAACGTAATGATAAATTTAATCATAGAACACATGTAAAACGAAATTTACTTGCCGTAATGCAATTTTGACCTCACATATTAAAGAAATGAAATAATATAAGGAAACATTCATTTCACGTAATAAAGTTTTAACACAATGTAAACATATTTTCACTTCACATAATGAACTTTGGACTTCAAGTTATAAAGTGCGGACATTATGGAAGAATGTGTTTACTTCATGTAATGCAGCATTGACATGATGTAAAGATGTTTTTACATCACCCCATAAAAAATTGACATAACGTAAAGATATGTTCACATCACGTAATGATAGATTGATATAATGAATGCATAGTTTTATGCTATAAGGCAGTGATGGCGTTCCATAGCAAATCAAATAGTATGTGTCATGCAGCAATATTTTCCTTTTTATTTTGAATTATTTTGAAAAGTCTGAAACTTCTGATCTAACTACAAAACACTGTCCTAAGCATTTTATCAGTCTTTAACCCTCCTTTAAAAAAGTGTAAACACATCGTATTTCATACGTGCACTGGTGGGTGGGTGGGTGGGGAGAGAGGGGAATCTCGCCCTCCCATCTTTAATGACCAAAATGTGCATGAAATTAATCAATTGGTTTAACTTTGTAGGACATTGCATTAGTTTCACATAAAGTATAACTCAAATAAGTTGAAACGTTTTATATAAAGAAAAACTTAATCCTGAGAGCCTCCAGGCTTTCACCCCCTGGTCCCCAACTTAGACACCATACCGTCCCCCTTATAGCTACTCTTTTCAAGAACCCTAGATCGCCACTGATATGTGCCTATGCTTACTGAGGCATGGTCAGTTCATTTAAGTGAGGGACTGGTAGATTTCAGAATTCTAGTCCTGGAATGGTTGAAAATTGACTTATTCCAGTGACGTTGCTTCGTTTTTGAAAGTTGGGGGAGGTTTGTCAGCCAGAAAAAAAATCACGTACAAGAAAAAGCAAAAAAAAAAAAATGTCCAAACTCGAAAATCCTTTGTCGGGTGAAGGGGGGGGGGGGGGGTGTCAAACTTCGATCAGTCCTAAATAAATTTCCAAATATACTACATTACCCATATACTTCAGCAAAAAGTGGGGCAGAATTTCAATGAACATTTTCTATGATAAATTTATGTCGGAAAAAAAAGAGGAAGCCAGACCCCCCCCCCCTCATATAACGTGTCTGTAATTCGTCCTACATGTAAGTAATCAGGAACCCCCCCCCCCCCTTTCCCCAGTCGTGAAAACACGGTTATCAACTTTGACATAATGTAAATGTATTTTACAGCATGTAATGAACATTTGCAATCAACATGATAAAGAATTAACACAATGTAAAGATAGTTTTAAATCACATAAGAAAGAGTTGACATAACGTAATTATATATCCACATCACGGAATGGAGTTTTGACATAATGTAATAAAGTGTTGGTATAATATGGAATGCCGGGACTGTCTCCATAATATATGTACACATTATGTTATAAACCTTTTTACATCACGTAATAAAGCACTGACATAAAGGTAAGATGTTTTCACCTCACATTGTGATGACCTCGATGTAAAATAAAGATACATTAACATCACGTAATAATGCTTAAGTATAATAGAAATATACACTCACAAAAGGGAATGGACTTTGACTTAACGTAATGATAAATTTAATCATAGAACACAAGTAAAACGAAATTAACTTGACGTAATGCAATTTTGACCTCACATATTAAAGAAATGAAATAATATAAAGAAACATCCACTTCACGTAATAAAGTTTTAACACAATGTAAACATATTTTCACTTCACATAATGAACTTTGGACTTCAAGTTGTAAAGTGCGGACATAATGGAAGAATGTGTTTACTTCATGTAATGCAGCATTGACATGATGTAAAGATATTTTTACATCACCCCATGAAAAACTGACATAACGTAAAGATATGTTCACATCACGTAATGATAGATTGACATAATGAATGCATAGTTTTATGCTATAAGGCAGTGATGGCGTTCCATAAATTCTAGTCTTTGATAAGTATATGTAAAGATGTAAAGGGGGCACTAACAGTGGACAGCTTAAAGCAACTTAGCATTTATCATAATAGAAAGGGGGCAATTTGATTGTTCAAAACAATGAAAATTCTTTCTCTCTCATACGTTTTACTGTACTTCAATATTTCTAGTTTTCACCTGTTTTAATTAACTCATTTAATATTGAAAGTTTCCAACGTCATACCAGTTAGGTAAATACATAATTATATAAATGTTTTGAGTATAGCATAGACATCGAGACCGGGCGAATGGGCCAGGGGAGGAGGGGCTTAGCCCCCCACTTATTCTGGAAAATATATATACATCGTATAAGTGTTGAAAATGCAGCTTACCCTTTTTGGATTTATTGCTCCCCTCCCCCGTTTGTTACTGACACCTATGTAGATTTGGACTGAGGGATCTTATACCTGTCTTCTTTTTTCGACGGGAGTTAATCAATTCAAAAGTTTTTTGAAAGATAAATAACAAATAAAATCTTTCCATTACTAAAATATGATTTAATTTTTTTTCAAAGTGCGTTAAGTGTCTCCATGGTAAAATATATTGATGTAGACTCTTAAGTGCGTTGAGTTGGTCCCAAATTTAACGCACTTTGAAAAAAATTTTCAAAGTGCGTTGATTTTGTCCCAATTTTAACGCACTTTGAAAAAATTTTTCAAAGTGCGTAATTTTTTCAAAGTGCGTTGCCACACAGCATCAAAGACTTTTTTCATAGTTTGGAGAAATTCTGAGACTATTCGTGCCATAGCTCCTATGTAAAATTTCAACTCATTAAATACTAATAAAGGGAATAGCTCTTAATATGTACCACTGTATGTCGACTAATAACAATACAGAACCTTTAGATTGAATTTTCTCCAGATTTGGGAAAATGATGACTAGCTTTATTTTGTTCAGTTTCAGGTGCTTGGTAACTTCCCTCAGACCTAACACAATTCTTCTCTTGGTTTTGGCCTGCAAAGAAATGCTCTAAAATCTGAGATGACTTTACATTTACAGCTAAGTCCACTTATGCTTCATTTTCATTTCTTATAACTCAGAATCTCTGTACATGAGAAATTTCATACAAAAAAATATCTTTAAAACCCCGTGATTTCTTTGTATACAAGCTGTTGTATAGATTACATGTACAACCAAAGGCGAATCCAGGGCCAGCGTGCTGGGCATGCGCCCTCCCATTTGAATATTTTGTATATAAAATTAATATGTCCATTATCCTAAAATCAAGGTACATCTCTTATTTGTAAAAATTTGTCAGCTTCCAGGGGATTTAACCCCAGACCTCCACCAGGGCCTTGCCCTAGACCCACTGGGGGCTTCAGGGCAGCCCCCCGACCCCCTGCCATCTACCGTGCCCTCCCGTTACGAAATTCTTTGCTCCGCCACTGTGTACAACTGACTCTTACCTCTACTTAGTATACCCCCTAGGTACTTCAATCAGTATCTGCAGATGTACAGTTACTATATTTACCGTATCAGTATGCGTACCTTGACCGGGTCCTTGTGGTACATTCTGTCCTGGAAGCGGACCAGATCCTGTAAGAGATGGGTACAGCAGCTGTCAATGTCCTTATTGAGGACCTGGTTACAGTACCTGTAATACAGATACACAGGCAGGTTAACTAACACTGTCAGTCACAAAGGCAATGATGGAAAATAGTAGGTATAATAGCTACAGGTAACAGAGAGATAGGAAACCTACCATACCCAAAGTACATGTGATTTAATGTGATTTTTAAGTGTCCCTCTGCTTTGCAGGCATTACAAAATATGTAGGGTTTTTTGTGATATTGGGGTTATTAATCTCACCCAACTACCCAATTACAATCATAAAAACTAAGTCTAGCTCTGTGAATAATAGCTATTAAATCAATGAACCTGATTGTTTTTATCAGTATACAAGTTTTCATTGGCATGAGATTTTTAACTACAGTACTTTATCCCAGTATTCATCACATCAAAATGAATGTCATTCTGCCAGATGTTGCATCACTTTTTTCAAGGATATAGTAGTCCCCAGATCTTGTTAAAAACTACTGCTCTAAAAATAGCTTTCAATTGAAATATCATTACATTTCTTTTTTCCTATCCATTATCATAAAGATGATTGGATACATCTTGAAAAGCTGACAGTTTAATGCTACATTGGTGGCTGTTTTCAGTTGACTTTAGACTACATGAATTATACACTAATAAATCAATCATTATTTTAAGTAAGGAACTTTTAAAGAACAAATAGAGGGAAACTGAGCCTATTGGGGATGAATGTCAGCCTCTTAGAGAGTACTACTAGATGTATATCCCTGATCTGTAACTAATTCTGTAATCAGTGCAATATAAGACTATGACTTGACACTTACTCCCTGAACCTCCTGCTGTGGATCTTCATGCGGACCTCTTTACCAATGGTCCCTGCTATGGGGCTGTTTACCTCGGAGCTTTGTGGGCTGACCCCGGGGGACAGGGGGGCTCATACTGATAGGGGAGGTTTGGCTGATGGGGGACAGGTCATTACTAGCAGGGGTCCCCGTGCCTGTGTAATCCACCACTGATCCTTTGGAGCTAAATGCTGTAATTACATATAGTTCACTGATGCAGCGTTTCATAGTACAAAGCTCTTTTATAGACATTTATTGATAATTTTAGCACTTTAAAATGTCTGGTGAATATTGGGAAATATAAATTTCATACCATCTTGTGACATGTCACTCTCATTCCCTGATACAACTCCAATGCCCAGTGAAACACTAAAGACAACAAAAACAAACAGTTAAACAAGACATATAAAGACACGCTCATCAACAGAGTGTTCTTGAGATGTGGCTTATTTATAATATTCCATATGAATTACTCCACCATATATTTTATACATATTTAATTTTTTTAGGAAAAGCCCATGCTTACTTTGTATTCAGGATAGCAAAACTGCATACATATGTACTTCAGTATTAGCTGACTTGCTTACCCATTATTAGCCGACTCTGTATCATCTAGAAGCCTCATTTTCTTCTTCTCCTCTCTCTCTCTTTAAGATTACCTAGTATAATGAAATCAATCAGAAATTAATGAAAGAAAAAGTGAGCAAGCTCACATACCCCACACTCCCCCCAATACTCAAAAAGCCGAAAATCTTGAAAAAAAATAGAGGAATCAGAATTTCCTGATGCACATCTACATATTAAATGTCTGCAAAGTTTCACAATATTCTGTGCAGTTGTTTAAGAGGAGTTACGCTGACAAACTGTTCTCTATATTCAAGGTATGGCCAAAAATCTAATGAAAGTGCCAGAATTCCTGGAAAAAATAAAGGCATTGGAATTTCCTGGTAAAATGCACCTCTACACATTGTGTCCTAAATATCTGCAAAGTTTGATTGAATTCTGTGTAGCGGTTTGTGAGGAGTTGCACTGACAATCTGTTCATCTCTATATTCAAGGTATGGCCAAAAATCTAAGTTGAAAATTGCCGAAATTCCCGTAAAAAATAAAGGAATCGGAATTTCCTGGTAATATGCACATCTACACATTGTGTCCTTAATATCTGCAAAGTTTGATTAAATTCTGTGCAGCGGTTTATGAGGAGTTGCGCTGACAAACTGTTCACGCATTTACCATTTCCTATTCTTAATGCAAAATCACGCATATACTGCTTCCCCGCAATCATGCATTTTTCACACACTTTAAAAAGTATATTTAATCTTCAACCCAAAGCCAATTTCCCCCTATTTTATACTTGTTAAAATCTCATAAAATAAGAAAAGTTATTTTCTTATTAAAATATAATGTCAACATATTATTTACGCCAAACTTTAGAGAAACTTGTACCCTGCTATAAAGTGCTTGCAGGGAAATGGTAATGTCATATTTCTATATTTACATTAGCAGATATCTTTCTTAGATGAACCTATTGAAGAGAAAATATGCTCAATTCAGTGTGAACATTATTTGGGGGTCAGAGGTCATAGCGCAACCGAATCATAGAGCGAGGTGATATTTTGTCTACATATTTCTGTCATGGTGCAATTTGTTATGGAATTATATATTTCTACGTTAATAACGATGAAAAACATAAAATGATAAACAATATGGATATTTTTCAATCACAAGATGTACAATAAATCTTCTTTCTATTTGAACAAGGTTTTGAATACCGGTATTATAATTAGCCTAAAACCACACTTACCTTTTTAACCCAAATTCCTTTGGAGTTATGAAAACTAAAACAGGCGATACCACCGCATTTGACTTCAAATATTTTAAGAACTTATGAAATAAGTAAATTATTCTCAGCAGCAATAATTGTTCTTTCACTATAAACATAATTATATTTCCTGAACTGAACTGCTAAACACTGCTTTCCTGTCAACGAGGGGCAAATATTCTGGTATTGCTGCCCAAGAAATAAGCCATGTTATATTACATCTTTAAACATTAAACCCAAATCGATCATCGAGCATATTTATTGAACACTACGTACACATTACGTTGAGTATATAGAGGATAATATCTATATTGTGTGATTTGATATTGGCTTTATCCAACTCCTTGAAATGGTGTATATATTCGCGAGGCTTGCCGAGCGAATATATACACCATTTCAAGGAGTTGGTTAAAGCCAATACTGTATACATGGTTATTTTCGACCTGTCGTATTTTCGCCTTTTCACACTTGCAAACAATTTTGCCCCATTTTAAATTCACCCAGTCACTGTTTTGTTTAAGAAATTATACTGTATTCTTTGTATTCGCCCCTTCTTAAATTCGCAAATAGAGGCTAGGGCGAAAGGGGCAAAAATAAAACGGGGGCGAATATTTCCCTGTGTACAGTATCAAATCACACAATTATAGATGTTCTATTTATCTCATACGACTTTCGTTTAAACAAAATTTTGAGACTTCCCATGCGAAACTACATGAATGATTGCTACATGTAATTCAAATCGATGACGTATAACTTTGATGACAAAGCACCGTTGATGTTGACATGCCTCGAAAGAAAGTAGATCGTGTTCAAATTTTAGAATTTTTGCTATCTCCATCTTTGAAAACATTATGTGACAATTGCTGGAGCCTTCAATCAAACGAACTCTGATTGAAAGTTGTAAGGATCATGGGATCGTGAAAATGAACTCTTTGGACGATGGCAGTACAAAACGTTTTAGGCAAGGCTAGGGGCCGATTCATTGTTGATCCATGGTAAGTTACACCTACATTACTACTATAGGTAGGCATACGTAGTAAAATATTTTTTAAAAAAAGCATTGTTGAAGATACTTTACTTTCTCAAAGAACAATTTAAAGGAATGGGGGGGGGGGGGGGGTGTTAACATCCATATTTAAGTAGCCTTCATAAAATAAGACACTTCTTTGACATGTACGAGTCGTTTCCATGCTTTTAATGACATTGCTGCTCTTTATCATTCAATTCATAAGGGCAAGGATTTTTACAAATAAAAGTTTCAATAAAATAAAATCTCGAAGCAAGGGATAGTGTCAAAACCAGAAGTGCTATTGATAAAGCATCTACCCATGGATAAAGCAAAGGTTTATCCAATGGCCTCTATCATCCACATGTTTGAGATAAAATTCTGAAATATCACGTCCTGTTTCATGGCAGATTGGTTTAAGTATGCTGACACTTGTGTTGATAACTTTGTTATATTTAAGGATTTTTTCTCCTGAATTCTGAATTCAAATTAACAAATCGCAGACGTTGTCCCGACTTTTTAATTTTCGCAGAACTGTTTACGTTTCCTTAGCAACTGCCTCTGTGAATTTCAAACCCAAATATTAAATATGCAGAATGATTGCACGTGATGGTACATAACTGTTTTCGGGAGGGCAATATAATTGTTTCCGGTGAAATATAACTATATCCGACGTGATTAAGCAGTTTTTCAGGGCATATGGATAAAAATATTATATTTGTGATATAATGGGAAAACTTCTTCAACAAGAGGCCCATGGGCCACATCGCTCATCTGAGTAACTTTTGTAATGCAGTTCTTTACCAGATTTCCCATCCTCTTATATCTATTGTGGCCCCTTACCCCCCCCCATCTTGATTTTAATAATTTACCCCAGATGCTTCCACCTAATTTTCAGCTTTCCTGGCCCACTGGTTCTTGAGAAGAAGATTTTTCCTATATATTTCTATATAAAAATCGGATTTCCTATTGTGGCCCCGCCCTACCCTGCGGGTCATGATTTTAACAATTTAAAATCTACACTACCCCAGGATGATTTCACATATGTTTCAGCTATCCTCGCCCACTGGTTCTTAAGAAGAAGATTTTTAAAGATTATTCCTATGTATTTCTATGTAAAACTTGGATTTCCTATTGTGGCCCCGCCCTACCCCCGGGGGTCAAGAATTTTACAATTTAGATTCTTCACTACCCCAAGATACTTCCAAATCAATTTCAGCTTTCCTGGCCCACTGGTTCTTGAGAAGAAAATTTTTAAAGACTTTTTCTATATATTTCTATGTAAAACTTGGATTTCCTATTGTGGCCCCTCCCTACCCCGGGGGATCATGATTTTTACTACTTAGAATCTTCACTACCCCAAGATACTTCCATATTAATTTCAGCTTTTCTGGCTCAATGGTTCTTGAGAAGATTTTTAAAAGATTTTTTTCCTATATATTACTATGTAAAACTTGGATTTCCTAATGTGGCCCGCCCTACCCCCGGGGGTCATGATTTTAACAATTTAAAATTTACACTACCCCAGGATGCTTCCACATAAGTTTCAGCTTTCCTGGCCCAGTGGTTCTTGAGAAGATTTTTTAACGATCCCACCCTATTTTTGTCTTTTCTAGATTATCTCCCCTTGGAAGGGGACCTGGCCCTTTATTTTAACAATTTAAACTCCCCATCCCCCAAGGATGCTTTGTACCAAGTTTGGTTAAAATTGGCCCAGTGGTTCTTGAGAAGAAGTTGAAAATGTGAAAAGTTTACAGACGGACGGGCGAGGCTTCAGACAGACGGACGGATTATGGACAAAATGTGATCAGAAAAGCTCGACTCACTTGAGCCTTCGGCTCAGGTGAGCTAAAAATGTTATATATAATTTTAGATATAAAATGCATTTGTTTGATTTTTTTTTTCTCTTTACCTTTAAAAAATTGGTAACATGCAGAATTCCTAATATTTTTTTTTAACACTAAGTGTCAATGAGCAATTCAATGTCTCTTAGCCATGGAATGTATTTGCAGTATCTTACATAATGTTACTGAATGCAGTATTTCAGTTCTGAAAAACTAAATTTTGTCTTCTAAACTGTCAATATATATTTCAATGATAACAGTTGTTCAGGGTATTGATACATGTGACCTAGTTGTCTACATAAATGTAATCAAAACTGAAACCTTAAGGCCATTTTTTTTAATTGGTTCAAGGATTAAATATTTTAAAATCAATTTGGGGGAGGGGGAATCAAAAAATTACAAGAACTTTCTCATTTCTTTGAAGTTTGTATTTTTATCTTCAAACAGCATGACTTTTGTTATGTTTCTTTACATGTCCCCAATAGATTGCCCATGTTTTGATTTAATCACGGCTGTAAAAGATTGTAAAGGCTTGCTTATATGGTTGAACTGAGCATTAAAATAAATGTTGTTGTCCGAGCCCTCCATGTTGTTTAACCTTTGGTGGGTTTTTTTCCAATGATCAATGTTAAGAAGGCATTTATAAATTGTAATACCCCCACTTGAAAAGCGGGAGGGTTTCTATACCCTCCATTTGTCTGTACGTAGGTCCGTCTGTTACACTTTGGGGTACCCATCTCTTAAACTCCTCTCATACCACTGAATGAAATTTGAAACTTTCACAGAATCTTTATTACACATTGCCATTGTGCACCTCCTATTTTACTTTTTGATCCAAAACATATTTGGTTTCCCATAGCAAGACATGGACACTGCCATTATATTCATATTTTTGTCTTATTTTTATTTTAGAGTTACTTCCCTTTGCCCATCAGAGTTGTTTGCGTG